AGTTTTAAAACATTATATATATATATATATATATAAAATTTTTAATAAATATGAAAAATGTTAAAAAAAATAATAATAAAATAATATAAATTTTTACATTCTTTTTTATCAAAATGTCTCTTGAATAGTTTAAATAATATGTAAGGATAGTTTTATAATTATATTATTAAGCAGGGCGGGGGCGAGTATTAACATCTCCGTCCCTACCTCCGTCCCATCCTCAATTTTGTCAATTGAAAAAAATTCGAACTCAAACCCGAACCCAATCAACACGAGTTTTTCTGATCCAAATTGATATGGATTTGAATGAATACTTACAGGTTGGATTAGAATATCATACCTACTTTTTAATTTGACACTTTAAGAATCTCAGATTATTTACATGAAAATAATAACTCTTTATGTAATTTAAAATAAATAATTAAGTAACTATAACTAAATGCATATTTACTTTAATATTACATTAATCTCAATCCACATCTTTTACAAAAGCAAATCATTATAGTTATGTATTTTGAGATATTTGACGTGGTTATTCTAGCAAATATAGTTTATGGATTCTAAGGCAAACATATACTAAATAATTGAGACTTAAACCATTCATAATTGGCAATATAAAGTCATCAATGAGCCTAGGATTAAGGTTGACGTCCATAAACAGACCTTTGTTAACGATTAACTATCATATATATCTCACATGATTAAGGGGCCATAAGCACCACCATCTCACACATGAAGGAGACATCATGCATGTCACCTCTTTAAAAAAAAAAAGTAGAAATTATTGGGAATCTATTAGAAAACAGCACACTAGATATATAAGCTGCATCATTCTCTTTATTACGCAAGTTACACTATGTATAACATGCTAAAGTTTATTGAATTATTAACTAACTTAATAATGTGTTTGGATGAAAAATTTAAATGAAATAATTTATTCATTTGAAGAATTTTAAATTTTTTGAGGTGAAATATCTTATTTAGATGAATAATTTATAAAGAATTTAAAATTTCAAATATTTGTAAAATTCTTTGAAATACTATTGTTCCGGTATGCCTAGAAATCCCACATCGCTTAGGAGTCGATGCTAAGGGGAGTTTATAAAAACCCTTCCCCCTTAACCCACCGAGGCGCCTTTTCAAGGACAAAACCGTGACGGCCCAACGAGCGCCAAAGCGAACAATACCTCAGATGCGGTGACCCTAACGATATAATTTCAAATTCTCTCAAAAGAGTAAAATTTTGAAATTTTTCATATTTTTTTTCTTATTTCACTTATATATTTTATCTTATCTCTTATCTCTTCATGTTTTTAATTATTGAATATTCAAAAATATTTTTAAAATTATTAAATATTATTTAATATTAATTTTTAAATTATTAAATATTTAAAAAATTAGCTAATATTTATATTTATAAATTTTTTTAAAAAAATCTCAACATATAAATATATCTTTAAAATTAATTTCATGGTGAAATCAAATTATCATATCTAACCTAATAATTTAAAATTTGAGAAATTTGAATTGACTTATCTAAACAAAATATTTTAAAAATGATAGAAATTGAAATCAAAGTAATTCAAATACAAAAAATTTAAATTTCCTTAAATTTGTAAAATTTCTCATCCAAACACTCAGGATTTCTTATTGAGCGTGTTCTAACAATTATCATCTTTTTAAATTATTTTAGCATTTTAATATATATGAGGAGGGTTATAATAACACCGCTATAACTTTTACTAAATATCACATCTCTTAATAAATTTATATTAAATATAAAATTTATAAATCTAACCGTTAGATTAAAAGTTCATATGACTTTATATGTATATATTAAATTTTGTTAAAATTGAACAATAACTTAAATGTAATAGTATTCATATTTTAGTAATTTTGAAATAAATATATTACGTCAATTTTATTATTATAACCCTCCTCTATAAATTTCAATCCAACGGTTGAATTTACAAAATTTACATTTAATATAAAGTTATTGAACAGTACTTAGTATAAGTTATATCGGTATTATTAATGAATTACTAATATAAAAATATTAATTATATATTTTTTATTAAATTAATCATATATATATAGTATAATTTTTTTTTTATACTGATAACTAATAATATCTTTTAACGGTGTGATACGATTGCTTAACTCTATTTTATTTTGTTCCGAGTTTTGTAATTTGAGCGGAAGAAGGAATATGAATAGGCGCAGCGTAGGATAGAAGAATAGAACTGAAGCTGTATCAAGTATCAAGTCGGCTGAACTAAACCGATTATCTACCGAACCCTTAATACGCATGGTTTGACGTTTAGGTTGAACATGGCAACAATGAGAATGCGTGGAAATGCTACAAAACTCATAATTTCCTTTTGTCGAACCATTTCATCATCAACTCTTGCACCTCCTCCGGTTGTTTCTTCCCGAAGAGTAGTTGTCACTGGTAAGTGGTAACTGCTAAACCCTACTATCTCTCTTTCTCTACCCTCTCTTATATCTATTCATTTCATTTTAGGGTTAGGCATGGTCACCCCTCTCGGTTGCGGAGTCCACGCCACGTGGAAGCGCCTCATTGACGGGGAATGTGGGGTCAGGGAACTGCGTTTGGAAGACCTCAAGATGAATGCTTTTCACGAAGAAACCCAATCCACCACGTTTCATCACTTGACATCAAAAGTCGCTGCTCTTGTTCCTACTGGAACCAACCCTGGTGAATTCACCGACCAAATCTGGCTTAATTCTAAGGTTATTATTATTATTATTATTGTGATTACTTTTTATTCTCTGTAGTTAGGTGTGGGAATTTTCCGTTTACCATTTGGATGTTCGTGTTTTTGCAATACAGCAATAGGGGTTGTGTTATGTTAAGTAAGTGAAATGGAATTGTAAGTTGTCAAGAGCTCATGAAGGATGTCATGTATGAGTATGAAAAGTAACCTGCTAACCTGCTGTGCCAAAAGGATAAATTTGGCCTAGTGTTGTGTAGTTTCTTCTGGTTTTCAATGTTGTTTCGTTTGAGATTGCTTTGCTTTTACTTGCACATGCTGGATCTGAGCTTCTATTATGGTTATTGACATCATTGTAGTACTGTGACATTTGTCTTAGGATCATCGATCAATAGCAAGGTTTATAGCATATGCACTATGTGCTGCTGACGAAGCACTCAAGGATTCTAATTGGTTTCCTACTGAGCAGGATGATAAGGAAAGAACGGTATGTTTTTTTCTGAATACGGGGTAATGACAAATCATTTTTGACAATTCCCTTGTCACTTGTATTTTAACCTCAAAAACTATCAGGGAGTGTCTATTGGTGGGGGAACTGGAAGTGTTAGTGACATCTTAGATTCTGCACAACTGATATGTGAGAAGGTCAGTTTGTTGAAACTCACCGGTATGGAAGAACTTAATTTGATGATCCTTCCCTGTTTAAGTTTTTCTCTAAGTGCTTTTAGTTATGAGTGCAAAATGATTTGGTAATTTAGATAGAATATACTGTATTTGATACTTACTTCTTATCCCTTGAATGCAGCGTCTTCGTCGCCTTAGTCCATTTTTTATCCCACGAATATTGATCAACATGGCGTCAGGTCATGTGAGCATGAAATATGGGTTCCAGGTGAATAGACTACTTTCAACTGACTGATATTCTATACTACAAATATGAATGAGGTCATAGCCTCCTTCAGCTGCTGGAGTGCTGGACAGGCAACTGCATTTTCATTTACTAACTTTTGAATGTGTGTATGTGTGGATTACAAGATGAAAATTATTTGTTTATAGCAGAATGAATTGACCCCATAGAACAGATGTAGGAAATATATCTTCTTGCTTCCATGTTTCTTCTCTTATAATAATTTCTAACATCATAATCATATGAGAAATAACGGCCTTCTGAAACAAAGAACTGCCCTTCATGTTAATTTGGCTATAATGAATTATATGTCAATCAGGTTTAAGAGACTGATTACTCAAACAACCATGATATATCTCCTGGTAGAACAATTGTTAGTTTATAACATTTGTCAACTATGCTATGACCTTTGTAACCATTAATAATACCGGGTCTGTGGAGAACTTATGTTCTATTCCTAATATAGGGACCAAATCATGCCGCAGTCACTGCATGCGCCACTGGCTCACATTCTATTGGTGATGCAGTGAGAATGATTCAATTTGGGGATGCAGATGTTATGGTGGCTGGAGGCACAGAGTCCAGCATTGATGCATTATCAATTGCAGGATTCTGCAGGTAAATTATGACCGGTGCATTGCATCCTCTGTTATTGTTGATCACTTCAGTAATTATTTGTCCTTTTACCTCTGATATTTTAAATCTGATAGCGGAGAAATGCAGGTCTCGGGCCTTGTCAACAAAGTATAATTCAAGCCCACAGGAAGCATCACGACCGTTTGACAGTGGTCGAGATGGGTTTGTGTAAGTATAACAACACTGTAGTTTTGTTTCTGAGTATAATCATGTGTTGTCTGACTACAAATTATTGGTTTGCATGATTTGTTTTGTCTTGCTTCTTATATCAAAGTTATGCTTTTACTCAGGATAGGTGAAGGTTCTGGAGTCTTGGTCTTGGAGGTTGGTTAAGAATTTTATTGTGTAGTTATCATCTATCCCTCCAATTCCTCTTGACCAACTTTATTAATAATATTTGATCTTTCTTATTTATTTGTTTCTCCTACCTTTTTAGGAATTCGAGCATGCAAAAAATCGAGGAGCCAAAGTCTATGCAGAGGTTCGTGGCTATGGAATGTCAGGTAGTTTGTTGCAGTATATGTAGGATTTTCTTCTAGCCTTAGTGATATGAGAATATCATATTACTTAGTTTCTTATATGGTTCACTTCTATCATGTGGATTTTGACTAGGTGATGCATATCACATTACTCAACCACCTAGTGATGGGAGAGGTGCCATTTTGGCCATGACTCGTGCTCTAAGACAGGTGTGGTTTATCTTTCTGCTATGATTTGTATTTGTTATGCATCATTAGAAGTTTTCAGCTGGCTGAGCTGCCAACTTTTCATGTATACATGTCCTGATGGTGTACTACCCAACCTTATCCATGCCCACGCAATATATTTATTATATTTTATAACTAGAATTTGAAAGTTTCTTAAATATTTTTTTTAATTAAGTTAAAGTGTTTTATTTATAATGCTTTATAATTAGGAGTTAGATTATATTTGATTATTTCTTCACTTAGTTACATATTTTAATTTTGATAGATGCTTTTTTCTTTTATTGGTTTTTCATCATTAATATTAGTATTGTAATAGCATTCATGTCTTATTAGTTATTAGTTTGTGAAACAAACACATTGGGAATCCATATTCAAGTTAACTACAGGTAATGGTTCTATGTGTATATGTATCTAGCAAGTAAGAGTATGGGTATTGAAGTTCCTACCCACACTGGAGCTATAGCTCCAGGTCTTTGCCAAATCAATTCCTCCCAAGGTTGCAACGCCCAACCTGGAGTTGCAGTGCTAGATCTTGGTCTCCCTATTTTCTCTCAGTTGTAGTGCTGGTTTAGAGCTCCATCGCTGAGTGTAGAGCTTTCTGCACTTTCATGGCTTTCCCTTTCGTTTTTCACCTATAATCCATCAATTTTTACCCCTAAACATGATTTACCTTCATAATCTCTAGAGGTCGGCAGTTCACCAGCTGTCCTTCATTTTCCATTGATCGTACCCTTGCAGTGTTAGATGCTCAACCCAAGGGGTCAAGCTCTGATACCAATTGAAGTAAGCGAAAAAAACACACAGAAGGGGGGTTGAATGTGTGTGTGCAAGAGCGAAGGAATTTTAAAACCGTTTTCACAAAGAGACTCTTTTCCGTCTAAAAACAATATTATCTTGAACACTTAAAAATTGTGTAGAGTTGGCTCAACAAAAGATTTTTCGTCTAACGGTTTATCGTCTGCACGAGGAAAATGTTTCTTAAAAGGAAAATGTTCTTTAAGAGAATAAGTTACGCAAGTATGTTTTTCGTCTGAAGATAGTTGTGATAAAAACAAGCAGTGGATGAAAATTTCAGTATGATATAACAACTAAATAAAATTGCATCTAGAAATGGATAAAGAGTGCAAAGAGTTTTATACTGGTTCGCTCGGCCTGAGCTACGTCCAGTCTCCTTCAACTTAAGGGTTCCACTAATCACAACAGATTACAAGTATTCTCAACCACTTCTGGTTCGTCAACTTCAGTCGTCGACGCTAGTATTCTTAAACCACTTTTGGTTCCCCAAGTATTATCAACCACTCTTGGTTCGTCAACTTTAGTCGTCGACGATAGTATTCTTAAACCACTTATGGTTCCCCGAGTATTGTCAACTGCTCCTAGTTTTCCAAGTATTCTTTCACTAGCCTCATCAGGCTTTACAAATGATAGATGGTTTGAGTGTGTATATAACTCTCACAAAGAGAATAGGATGGTTCCTACACTCACTAAGGTATGAAATCTTAGTTTACAGAGATGTGTTTTGAGTGTGTGTATTACTCTCACAAAGAGGATAAGATAGTTTCAACACTCACTAAGATGAGCTATCTTAGATTTACACAGATATACAAGACTGTACAAGAAGAGATCTAAGTTCGCTTTGACTTTGGCTTGACTTTTGCTTATTGCTCGTTGCTTATCTTCTCTATTTTCTTCTCTCGTTTGGTCTTGATATTTATAGCCCCTTGATGAATCTGCCTATTTTTAGAATTTAAAATTTCCCGTTAGAGCAGAGCTCCCCATTGGTGTAGAAAGTAGTTCGTTCATGGCTATGAAGATCTTTCATTTAATACATTTGATCTTGCATTAAATGTTTGCTTGATAAATCTGTTACGTGAAGTTTTCTTTGTAGTTTGTTCACTTTTATGTCTGACTTCAATCATAACCTAGGTATATATGTTCTCTTTTCGTCATTGTATCTGCAGAGGCATTGTATTTTTCTAAAAAGTAGGTGTACTTGCTCTGACACGTGCAACTTTGACTTGTGGATTCACGCTTGCCTATTTTTCTTTTTTCTTTTTACACTTTTGATGACTTCGTGTGTTCTTCTATGAGTCTAGACGATATATGATACTTCTCGTTGTGAATAGTAGACTTCAGACGCTTTTCAATATTCTTCGTCTGCGTCTGGAATTTGAGTTTCCGTCTAAGAGATAGACTTTAACTTTTCTTTCGTCTAGTTTGACTTTTCCCTTTCGTCTAGTTTGACTTTTTCTTTTCAACTAGTTTGACTTTTTCTTTTCGTCTAGTCAGTTAAGAAGATGGAAAACTTTAGTTCCGTTTGAAACGTTTCTTCGTCTTGTATTACCCATCGTCTGATACTTTTGTTAATCTTTGACTGGTAGACGCTTTTTCTTGTATGTATTGCATTTTCTTCTGGCTTCTGATCGTCTGATGTTTTGTACAGTTCAGCCAGACTTCGTTTGGTTTGACCATAGTATGTGTGATGATGTGTGCTTCATCTTTTCAGTTTTGCCTGTTCTTATATTTATCTGAAACACTAACACATATGTTAGAAATAAAAATATGTATTATATTTGTCATATTCAAAACCTTGTTGAAAATTTGTTTGTCTGACTTAACAAAGTTATAAGGAGAGAGAACTTGCACAAATAAATGAAGAAATTATGAAAAAGAGGTCCACTTCTGACCAACTTTTATATATATAATTTTGATTATTATTGAACTAATTTTTGATGTAGTAATATTTAAATTTAATAAATAATAAGTTAAAATATATCACAAATTATTCGGCTTATTTGATAAAGGAAGAATAATTTAGGTATGTTTAAACACTTTCATGGCTTTCCCTTTCGTTTTTCACCTATAATCCATCAATTTTTACCCCTAAACATGATTTACCTTCATAATCTCTACTCATTTTGTTCATACAACCCAGAAACACCAAGGAATACTATCCTTTTATTCTCTCTTTTAATGCCAGTTGCCTAACACCGATTTTATCAATCGGGGAAAACCCGAACTCGATAAATACGAGTTTCCCCATCCAAATCGGGACAGGTTCGGGCGGGTATCCACGGGACGTAGGTTAGATTGCCATGACTACCCACACATATATGGATTTGAGTATGGGTAATAAAGTAATTTTTTAAAATGCAGGTTTGGGAAAAGGTATTATAGTACCTCTACCCAAACCCTATTCATTGTCATTTCTTACTGTGAGATCAATCAGGTTCAGGGAATGGAAGGTTCTATGTCAGTGATAAGTGTCCAAACAAGTGGTTGAACCTTAGAATCAGCATTAGCTACGCTCGAAAGTGAAATTAAATTATCCTGTTAAAGAGTAGATACTTCCGTGCATTTTAGCATTTATTATTTGAGAGCATTTTAGACCTACTTAGCAGAAATTAAGTGTTGATGATTACAAGTTAAACTCTTGCCATATTATTATTGTTTGCTCTGTGCATTAGGCTTAGCCATAGTCTAGATGATCATTTTTAAACTAATGTTTTTTCATGATATGCAGTCAGGTCTTCATCCTTCTGAAGTGGATTACATAAATGCACATGCTACATCTACACCTTTAGGCAAGTGAAGTGGGCACTTACTGTTTCCAGCATTTAAGCTTCACTATAATTATTTTCAAATACTTCATCTGTGTATTTGTGCTTGTCATAATTTTCCTCATCAGAATCCTTTATATAGGCGATGCAATAGAAGCTAATGCTATCAAAACTATATTCTCTGACCGTGCAAGCTCATCTGCTTTAGCCTTCTCCTCCACAAAGGTTAGCAAGCTGTATGACAAAGAAATACTTATCTGATTGGCTGTATAATCTAACTGTTGGTTGCTTCTTTGATGTTAGTTCTCAGTTCTCACCTATGGGAGATGCCATTTAAATTTTGTGTTATTTGAATGGGGAGAACAATAATAAATTGAAGCAATTTTTCAGGGGGCTATTGGTCATCTCCTAGGTGCTGCTGGAGCTGTTGAAGCAATATTTGCAGTTTTGGCAATACGACATGTAAGCATTTTTATTTATTTATTTCTAATTTTTGTGCACTTGCATCTAGAAGAAGTGGGGAAGTATATTTGCACCTACTGTTGCTTTTGGTGCTTAATCTATAACGAGTCCCTGTATGCTTAGTCTCTGTGATGTTTATTTTTTACTACAGGGAATTGCTCCATTAACTCTTAATTTAACTAAGCCAGATCCTGTGTTCGGTGATGGTTTCAAGCCATTGTCTGCTTCAGAAGAAATGCCAATTAGAGTAGCCATGTCAAATTCTTTTGGTTTCGGAGGCACAAATGCGTCCCTACTTTTTGCTCACACTGGTTCGGACTGATTAGATGGTTGCATCTCTTTCCATTGGCATTCTTTAACGATAGCTGATTGCTTCATGGTGAGGAGAGTTCAATGGCCTAAAGTTCTTGGCAGCGTACATGTGCTTGAAGTTTATGTTCTGCTATGTACATTTTGATGCTGCCAATTACTTTTTGAATGTTATTATCTCGTAACTATTTGGAAAGCAGCGTTGTTGACCATTCTTAAAACGTTGAATCCAATTGCAAATTCATGTTTAAAATCTTTTATCTTAAAATAAATTTTATAGTAAAAACTCACCATATATGTGTTTTTTTTCTTCCTGAGACTGGTTTATGCTGCCAGCAAAGTAGGGATCAAATCGAACGTAAGACTAAACTTTCAAGTGGGTATCACATACCGAATAATTAATTTAGTTTCAATTAATTTTTCTGACAGAGTTCTAGGAGGATCAGAAATATATTGCGAAATTTTATTTCTTGCTAGTTTGTTTTCTTAATTCGTTAGGAATTAAAAGTTTCCGGTAAATTATCTTACTTTGCTGTCGATAACTAGGCATTTGTTTGTGATAGTTCAATGCATGAACGCTTAGAACTTAAGTTTGGATCATTTAACCACATTAGGAAGTACAAAAAATAAAATTCACAGGATTCAGAATTCAGAAACTTGTTTGATTCCTTAGAGGGAAAGAAAAGAAAAATATATTAATAGAAAAAAATAAAGAAAGAAAAGGAAGAAATAAAATAGTTATACACTCTCGATATGATGTTACAAAACAGAAAAAGAAAAATATGTATTATTCTCGTTATTCGATAAAATTTTGTTTCCTTTCAATTCAATCCTTCAGAAGGGAAGATTGGAATAATGTGAAGCCCACAAAAAAGGAATCTCTTTCTTTCCAGTCACAAGTTGATGCCTAAAATAGGGAAGGATGGTTTATTTTCTTTATGAGTCAAATAAAGGCTAAGTTTGATTTCTTTTTTCCTGTGCTCAATGCCACTGGACGTCGGTTGGACGGTGGGATCTTTTTGCACCTTTTAAAGATCGAGTGAATCATTTAACCTCAAACATAAGTTACGCTTACGCAGTGTCAACTTAAAAGTTTTAGACTTTTTGACATTTTACCATATCTTCATTTTCTTATACCCAACAACGGCAATGAATGACTATCATGGATTTTATAGATGGAGAATAAAATATGGTCAAAAAGAGAAACCCTATTAAAGGTAGTCAGGAGGAAAATTACTCATCGAAAATGGTTAACAAAATTGTTTTTTATTATTATAATTGAATTGAAAATAATAATGAATGTTTTAAAAAAACACTTTTTCTTTTTCCTTTTTCCACTTTTTCAATTAAAACATATGCCATTAGTTATAATATTTTCGTTAACCATGAAAGTCTTTGAGATATTGCAATTGAAAAGAATAGTTAAAAGAAAATCCTCCGTGCAAGAGATGGAAGTCTAACGAATGAAAGTGACAGGAAAACAAAAGACTTTCTTAGATTGGACTGCCAAAAAAAGAGGAAGAGCAATTCAGTTTACGCATTTCAACACCCTTTGCACCTTTTTTTACCATTTTTTTTTACAAATTTCTCTTTGAACAAAAGTATTTTTAATAATAAATAAATATTTAACAACTCAGTTTCCAAAATATATGAAATGTGTTTTAGAAAATAAACTTTAACATGTTCTAAAAATTAGTTTTCAAAACCATATATATATATATATATATATACTTCTTTCTTACATTTAAAAATTAATTTTTATTTAATTTGTGAGACCCGCTCCCTCCTTCTCCCCCTTCCTCTCAACATTCTTCATTTTCACTTCCTCTCTTCAATATCATTTCTTCTCACTCTCTTCTTTCCCTTGGTCTCTCAAGGTGCTGAGTAAAGGTTGAGTGCTCCGAGTTGACTCCTCCTTTCTCCATTTCTCTCCTTCTTCCTTTTCGCTTCCCCGGAGCTTGGATTCTTCTTCTCCGAGGTAAGGGAAGCTAGATTTCGTGCAGATTGTTTGGTAATGAGTTTAGAAACTCAAATGTTGTTTGATTTCTGGAGATTGATGGTCGGATTTGATGAGTTGTGCATTTTCAGGGTTTCGAAAAATTGAGAAAAATGGGGATTTTGATGCGATTGATGGTTCCATGTTGAAAAAGAGATGGTTTTTGAGCTGTATGATGTAAATGTAGTTCATTTTATGGATTGCATGTGTTTGAGCTGGCTGATTTGCAGGTTTTGGTTGAATTTTTTGAAGTTATGAGAGTTACTGTTTGAAATTGCGTCGAGCACAGTTCTTGGCATCGGGCGTGCGTTCATCAGAAGCCACCATTGTCTTTTCACGCCGAGCGCAAAGCTAGTCGCGCCGGGCGTGATTTGAAATGGGGAATCCCTGGGTGAATCACGCCGGGCGTGGGGAGAACCACGCTGGGCGCACTATCAGATGTGAGTCTTGTGTTTTTATTACTGATATGGCGCCGGACGTGATTGGAGCACGCCGGGCATGGAGACTCATTGGGAGTCTCTGTCTGGGGTTGCGCCGGGCGCAGGATAATTGTGTTGGGCATGGAGACCTCAATAGGTCTCTGGTTGAGATTTGCGCCAGGCATGATTTTAATGCATCGGGCGTGCGTTTGCTTTCAGAATTTGACTTTATAGTCTTCATGAAAGTTGTAGCCTTGAATGTTAGCTTTCCAATGGCGCTGGAATCACCCAAAAAGGAGTTTTAGAACTCCAAATATGACTGTTTTAGTGAAGAGGGGTCAAGCTGTCAGCATTGGTTATAGTTGTTGCGGTTTTTAGAATTTTTAACAAGGTAGATGAAGGAATTAGGACTTGGTGTCTTCATGAGAGTTGTATTAAATCTTCTTATCTTTCATAGGAGATAAGGATGAGCATGATAGGAGTAGTATAACTCCCGATAAGCTGTCTTATGTGAAGGTTGTCATTTCACAAGGAGTGATTTGGTTATGTAGAAAGTTGCTAAGTTGTTAGATGAAAGTTGTATGTTGTACTATGTGTTGAAAAGATATTACATTATGCTGTTAATGATGTGAAGCTGAGTTGTGCTGTATGTTGTTTATGCTGTTAATGATGTGAAGCTGAGCTGTGCTGTATGTTGTTTATGCTGTTAATGATGTGAAGTTGAGTTGTGCTGTATGATGCTTATGCTGATGAATGTTGTTATGCTGAGCTGTGTTGTATGCTGTCTAAGCTGTTAATGTTGTTAAGCGAAGCTGTGCTGAGTGTTGAATATGCTGTTTAAAAAAAGTTGAGTTGTGTTGTTGAATATGAGTTGTGTAGGCTGTAAGGCTGAGCTGTGTAGGCCGTAAGACTGAGTTGTTGATCACTAAGACTAGAGGAGATCTCCTAGTTGAAATGTGTGACAACGCATAAGCTGTTAGATGTTGATTTTGCTGAATGATATGAGCTGTATGTGTGCAGTGTGTTGTGAAGCTAAGATATAGATATATGTTGTTATGTGTTGTATGTTAACCTTGATGAAATTGATGATGTGCTGTTAAGTTAAAGTTGTTTATATTCATTTATATGCTGATTCTTTCACTAGCTTACCCTTGCCTGTTTCCATGTGGGTTGGACTGCAATGATCATACTGTGTATGGGAGCAAAGCAGAGCAGTGATAGGTTGGAGTATAGTAGTAGGACTACAGCTGGCAGATGGAGCTGATATTTTTTGTTGTTTTTGGCTACCTAGTGTAGCTAGGTTGATGTTTTTGTATAGGACTTGTTGAGCCTCAGGCTAGACCTATGTATATATATTTGCTATTTATATGCATACTCTTTTCTGTGTGATGTTGTTGTTGTGCGACGGCTAGGCGAGTCGTTACACTCACACGGCTACCAAATCATATGCTTACATGATTACTGTAGCAATTATTATAACAAATAAAAAAATTACACATATCATATGATTTAACATCTAGTTGATAATTACATGGATAATAATAATTTAGTCGATCATCACTTTTTAACAAACATCATTATTTAATAAATGAGACTTAATTCAGATAACTAATTTATGTAACAAAAAATTAATAGAGAATTACAAGTTGACAAAATAATTTAACTAGGATTGAAAATCAAATTTTAAAATATTGAGTGATTAAGCTTATTTAGCCTTAATTCTAATCTTAGACTAAAAATTTTAAGAATTTACACCTTTAAAATAGTATTTATCAACCATTTAGACTCTCATAATAATAATTTTCTATTGAATTTGTATATCCTCTTATGAACTCTTTGAATTGTCTAATTTTATAAGATTCATGTTAAACATAATGAAATCGAGGTGATGTTTTCTTTTAATCTATTTTTCTTGTGACAAATTCTATCAATTCTTTCTCAATTACCATTATTAAAATGAGTTACTTTTTTGTTAGTATGTTTGATTAAATAGTGATGATGAAACCAAAGTCATAATGTCATTAGAGCTTTATTAAGGTATGATGTTGTAGGAACCTAAAAGGTAAACTTATTATAACGAGGAGCTAATAGTTCACTTGGTTATATATTTTTTAAAAATTTTACACCAGCTACCTAAGAAAGAAATAAGAAAAGAAAATGTATATCAAATAAATAGGTGTTGTTTAATATAGGAAAAATGAGGAAAGAGAAAAGTAAAAAAAGTGTAAATCTCACACTTTTTTTAATTCTCTTGCATGTATGCATAAAGTAGGCGAGAAAAAACACATTTTTGACTCATTTTGCTGTTATTTTTTTTTTTTTGAATTGACAAAAAATTGAAAATTCATTATCGTTTTTTTTTTGTTTCTAACTATTTGGAAATTATCACAATCATTTTTTATTATTTTTTGAACATATATTGCCAGTTCAAAAATTGCCACAATTGTTTATATTTTTAAATATTTTAAATAGATATTGGTGGTTTAAAAATGCACAATCAATTTTAATTATATAAAATATATTAAAATTTTATTTTATTTTTGTCTCATTTCTCTTAATTAATTACTACTAAATACTAATGTCATTCCATTTGCACATATTTTTATTCACTTATTTTTCTTTTCTTTGTTATTTATTTCCCTACCAAACGGAGCATAAGACAATAGGCTTTTCTTTTGTCTCAGTAAGAGAATTTTGAACAAGTTGAGGCAAATCAGCTGATCTTAATGGGCCAAGTTTTGACATTGATGAAGGTATTGGTATGACAAATAATATTTATACTTTCTTTAATTAATAAATACACCCCTCTCTTTTAAAAATAATCTTAAATACCTTTCAAATTTAGTCCTCCTTTTCTTCCTCCATTATCTCTCTAATAACTCTCTTCATTTCTCTTTCTTACTTTTTTCTCTGAATCCTCTCTTTAACAATGAAAAGACTCACACCCCATATTCATTTTTTCTTCAACCCCTTAAGATGAGGTAAGATATAAAGGATTACAATTGATTTTTTTTCTTAATGTTACTCGCTCAATGTATTCATGGACTTATTAGTTTCCTACCACTTTTGTTTTTATAAAAGAAAGTCTAGATGAGTTAGGTTATTTTATATATATAACTTTAAAGACTTATTATAGTTAATACAAACATCAAGATTTAAAAAAATGTCTAGTTATTAATAAGGCTCTCGCATTCATCTAATTAAATAAATCCGTTCTTTATATTTAAACCAAATTTTATTGTTTATGTTACATTGATCTTTATTCTTTAAACATGATCTCGTTACTACTCATATTGAGTCTTGTATAAATTCTCTCATTAAAAAGTTATACTAATTTTTTTGTCTTCCTAAATTTGAATAATGCCAAAATCAAAACATAAAAATAAAACTTGTCATCTAACAAAAAATATATTTAAAAACTAAATTTTTATATCATCTTACAAACTAGTTACTGCCTTATTATTGATTCTTACTCAACATATTTTGTAAATAAATCATCTTAAAATTTGATAATGTATGATCAAATTTCTTTCTAATAGTAAAATATTTTTATTGAACTAGATGTTAGATACTCAAATGATATCTAACTATTTGTTCACATGATTTTTTTTAAGACCAATTTATTTTTTTATTTATTGACCAGAATCTTTAAAATATTTGTATTCAACAAATATTTTTTTTAATACTTAATTACATTATTTTATCACTTGTATTTCACGATTTTATAAATTTTATCACACTTTTAAAATTACTCTTTTTGCCACTTAATTTTTAAAATTTTACATATTTTATTATCATATCAATTGATTGTCTTATATGACATATTAACTATTAACATAAATTAATGATATGACATATAAATAATATCATAACATAATATATTACGTTAATAATACATCAACAGTTAATTCGAGATATCAATGATCAACTTAACATGATAATAATTAACTAACAATATTAAAAAATTAACTAATAAAATAATAAAAAGATGTAAAATTTTGATGAGTAAATATGTAATTTTAAAAGTTGTGCGACAAATTTTGGGAAAATGTAAATCATGGTGAATATTATTTTTTTAAAATGAAAGGTAAAGCCTCCCTACCCTAGTTCCATTCCCATTACACATTTCCACGAGGCAAGGTGCATTAAATGATTTCGTTGAAAAACAATTGTCATGCATAGCGGGCATGATGTGATAGGTTGGTTGTTAAATATGGGTACCCAACACAACATCCTCATTATTCAATTCAACCTCTTTCTTATCCTAAAGATTCCTTCATTTCTTTTCTCTCCAAAATCCCACATTCACGAAGCATACATAGTTTTTCTCACACTGGTCAACTCTGTTCATCATATAATACACATATTCTCTTCTCCAACCCCTCCTTCCATGGCTTCAGATTCCAATCCTAACCTTAGAATCACCATTGAAAACAACCCCCCCGAGTCACGCCTAGCCGAATTGAACATCAAGGGTTGGCCCAAGTATGTATGCATGCCCTTTTGTTTTTTTAAACTTGATCTTCCTTTAATTTTTATTTTATTTTTTTATTTCTATTTAGATTCATAACATGCATATATAAACTTTCTATATTGTGTTGTTTCCTTTTGATGGGGGGGTTTATATTATTAAAAAAAAAAAAAATGAAAGATGGGGTTGTTCTCCAGGGAAGTACCAATTGAAATTTGATGCTGAAGAAACATGCTACTTGTTGAAAGGGAAGGTGAAGGCATATGCAAAAGGGTCATCAGAGTTTGTAGAGTTTGGTGCTGGAGACCTTGTGACCATCCCAAAGGGACTCAATTGCACTTGGGATGTGTCAATTGCTGTGGATAAGTACTACAAATTTGAGTCACCTTCTTCTTCTTCTTCTTCTTCTTAGTGTTTTGGATCACTCATCATTATTGTATATTGTGATTCAATTAGTTTTGGCACTTTCATTCATCAAAATTATTGTATTCCTTCTAATTCTTTCACAGTGTCTATTTTGTGCTGCAAGTGGTGGGGGTTGGTTTTTCTCTTGCTGGGAATTGGTAGTTTTAGTCAAAGGTGGAACCAATCAGTCAAAGGATGTCCCGTTCAAACCAATCATCTTTAAAGAGTTAGATATTAGATACAATTTTTAATGTTTCTTTGACTCATCAATCAATCAATCCATCAGATTTGTTTTTTTAATCTTATATTTACAAAATTAAGGAAGGATTATTATTAAATCGGACTTTCTTGAGAAAATCATTTGACATTTATAAAATTAACCATGTTTACTTCATTTAATGATTATTTCATGAGATACGTTCATTTTTCATAAGAAATGTAACTCTGTTTTTATTGCGTCGTCTCCTTTAAAAGTAAAATAATAAATTGAGTCGCGATTTTACGTCTAAAGTAAAATTTTCATATTTCATAAGATATAAAAATAATTGTTGAAAAACTATATTATTATAAATATGCAATATTATTAGCGACCGACAAAAAAATCTCAATTATTTAGTGTTTTTCTTCATGTGCGTGAACATTCGGGTGTTTTATGCATAATGACAAAAAACTGTCTGACATAGTGACATGTTATTAGCATATTTTTTGTAATTAACGGGCTATTATTTATGAGAGAATTTTAGTTAAAAGTTCATCATAAAAATTAATGTTATTATATATTTAATTAACAAATTTTAGAACAAACTAATGCAAAATTAAAATAGATACAATATAAGAATAATGTCTAATTTGAATACATTGTCAATAATTCAATATAAACATTTTTATATTAACAATAAAAAAGACAATCATCTTAATTAATATTATTTATTTTATTATCATGTCAATACTGAAATAATTATAATTAATAATAACTAAAAAAAACTGTCAGGAATTTAAAATTAAAAACATGCATAAATAAAATTAGATAGAAGGATATTTGCATGTATCTAATTTAAAATACTTCCAAAAACTAAGCAAGATCACAAGATTTCAACATTTATTTGATATTACCACTCTTAATTACCCGATTTATTAAGTGTGTATTTAGATTATAGTTAGAAAGTTAAGTTGGACTTAACCAACTTTCAAATAAAAGTACCTTTTTTTAAAATTTTTGTTTTAATTGAAGTTTGTTTGTAATTTATACTCAACAGAAAGAAATTTTTTTTTATCAAATATATAAATATTGTGTTTGAGGTAGATTAACTGATATTACAAATTTCAAATGTGTCATGAAACATAACTTAACCTTACTACTATTGATATTAAAATAACTTAATTTATCCAAACATATTATAAAGTAAAATTCATTCATACCATTTTGTAAAAGTGACATTAAGAGCAAAATGTACACAAAATGTCTCCATCTATGAATCCACCTCTCAACAACCATGACCAATCAATTACCCTTTCTCGATTCTTCTTTGTCCTTTTGTTCTCAAAGGACTCGAGTCAAAATACAAGCATAAAGATTTCGTAGTAATAGCCTAAAATTGCTAATAATAACCCTATCTTTCTTTCTTCTTATGTTTCAAGTGCAACATACCACATGCCAAAAGTGCACGACTTCTTCATATTTGGTAAGAGGAGTAAAGAACTTGCACATGATCCTTTACCTTTGCACTGGTTAATGGCTATACTCGTTATTTTCTCGTGATTTCTACCTATTGTTTCAATTGGTTACCATAGAGAACATAGGGGTAGGAAGTTGAGACTTGAGAATTCTATTTACCATCTAGTTGTACATATGAATCTGAAGCACATGTTGAATTCTACCCCAAATCATGAGTAAAAACACGTACTACAATTAAACAGTATCTTTTTAAGGATAAGTATACTAGGTGTCAATTAATGTGATTCAACTCAAAAGCATATTAAGGCAACAGAGTTGCATCTGATAAAACAGAGAAAATATGCGCCTTGTCAAAAAAGAGTAAAAAGGTGAGGGATCCAATATCTTCCCACAGAAACAAGACAAGATAGGATGACAGAAGACAAAAGAAATAAAGATAAATTGGAGAGTAGGGCTTTCCAGTCTCTTCTACATTTGTTAATGACAGAAAGTTGCTTAAGCCAATAGTTAATACCACATTAAAGTCAACATCATCCTCTTTTGAACAATTTTTCATTACTCTTTTCCTTGTAAAATGTTACAAATTTGCTCCATTTAAACACATCATATTGACTTCAGAGAAATCAAACATCAGATACCTCATTTATCAATCGTTGTTGGTTTGAAATTTGTATTCTTTAACTATATATTGAAGTTTAATTCTTGCATTGAGTATGAAGTCACAACTTAAAATATTACTTTATCCTCGGGTACCTTCCTAGTTTTGCCATGAAAAGTACCTTATCCTTCTTTTTCCTTCTAACACAAAAACAAGTCATGTCAAATTTATAATTTAACAGAAAAAACAATATCAATACTCTCGATGTAACCAAGTTGCAATGACCAATAATTTTTAGTTTTTGAGCTAATAAAAACACCACATACGAAAATATATTACCGAGTGCAGAAAATGGCCATGATATAGCACAGAATTTTTTCTTGCCCTGATTGTTTCAATCCTTAACTAAGAGCATAAAGGAAATGTTGGAAAATTTTTGACTTCCATAGTTCCATCGACAGGAAAATATGATTTTAATATAATTTTTTCGGCTTCAAGTATTTTATTTTATACTCAAATTTTCAGATAAAATGTGTGTTTGTCCTAACCAACCTGAACATTGTTTTTGCTAAGAACATCTCATCAGTACTAGGCGACTGCTTATCAATATAACCTACTGATAATCCTTATCTGACCTTTATAATCACTACTCATCACCTATCTCCAAATTTTTTAATTCTAACCAGTAAACTAATAACTACTTTTGTACTCATCAATCAAATAAGCAGAAATCTAAAATGTAAACAATATATAGAACCTTGCTTATTGAATGACTCCAACAATCTTGAGCTTTTTTAATTCTTTCATCTGTGGTCTTCAATTTGACAAGTAAAATTCTGAGTTAAATTAAATATTATTGAACTTCAAATACATTAAGTGGACAGTGGTATTTGATCTTAGGATTTTCAGTATGTCATTCACTCTCTATCCAATAGTCTTGGAGTGTCATTCTTTATATACCATTTTATGTACCAAAAAATAAAACTTAAAGTACATATGTGTGAGAGATAATTAAATGCTTAGTAACTGTTGTTGATGGAAATGAGCCCTACGTTGCCTCCTCAACTCAAGCATTACTTGATGCGAGGAAGCATTGAGGGAATACCAGCTTGGCTTTGACCCATTAACCATCCTTGTAGAATAGATGATTCCCATCCACTCGAATCTCATGGAGGAAAAAACTGATGAAATTGACAGAACTCAGATAGATCCTCATGCTTTGCAGTATTGCTAGAATCTAGATAGTACATGTATGTAGCATTCAATAAAGATAATGGACATTACCATAAGTGTTCTCAGGGTCATACTCATAACATCTCAGGTTAAAGCGAAACCATAAATATGTGCTGTGTATAAATATTTTAAAATATAAATATTTATAATATAAAAATAGATATCATCATTTTGTCTATGATTTTTTTAAATTTTAATTAAGTTTCTAAATTTAAAAAAATTATAATTGGATCTTTTATTATAGCAAAATGTA